CTCGCCGCAGCGAAATCCAATCAAGTGTAAACGCACTTTGTTGCGACATTGTGAAGCAACGCCGACCGCCGGTATTGTGTTTGTTTCCAACCGTTTGTAATGTTTAGTTCCACCACTTTAGTACTTAGTTTAGTATTAAAGTTGTTTAGTAAATTAGTAAATAATACTTAGTTAAACATAAAAAGGTACTAACTGTCCATAATATTAGTGTGGCATCATACTATGATATGTAAATTTAAAATTTAAAACAATTTTTGTCTATTAGTTTAGTTTAAAATCAGTTCTACAATTTTGCCAAATATAGCAAAGTTATTAAATTTTGAATCTCGATATTTTCTTTTTAGAAACAATATTTTTATTAGTTTTACTTCGCCTGATTCTATTGAAATTAACAAAACAGCAAGTAGGTGCGCATTATTCATTAAATGTACATTTTATTACATGTATATTTATGTTAATTTCCACCATCCTCAAGGATCAAATAGATCGTGCGCAATGCGAGTTGCATATTTAAATTTGTTCTTTGCTAAGTTACGGTTATTTTAACGTGACACGTACCATATCTGTTGTAATCGTCCTTGTCAAGGATGTCTCGCGGTTGCGAAAAGATTCAATGAATCACTAATTGCGTACCTTGTCCTATGACGGTTCAGATATCTGATGCGTACGATTATGGACCATAGACCATTGTAATTCACGGTTTCCTATTTAGGTGTTGTCCTTTCTAAGCTTGTTCTATAGTCTATATACCTACTTTTACTAACAATACAATTTAAATATGTGTTTGCATTTCTTAATATATATCCTTATGTATTTATGATGATACGAGCTGTTGCCCGCGACTTCGTCCGCGTGGTATTAGAAAACATACGAACTATATAAATTACAAAAAGCTACGTATCCCTCGGGAACCGGACATTTCTCGTGAATAAAGGTTATCCCATGTGTACTCCAGACTTTATATCTGTGCCAAATTTCAATAAGATATGTTGAACCGTTGCAGAATGATCGAGTAAATATTAAAAAACTAAATTAATGAATCCCACGGGAACCGTAACTAATTCCCGGATAAAAAGTAGCCTATGTGTTCTTCCAAACTATACTCTAAACCTGTGCCAAATTTCATGGAGATCTCTTCAGCCGTTTCGGCTACAAACGCTAACAAACATCCATCCATCTATCCATCCATCCATCCATCCATCCATCCATCTAAACTTTCGCATTTATAATATTAGTAAGATAAGCTCATTAAATTAAAATCCAAATGGCAATTATTTTTGTTGTAGTAACTATCGAATTTAATGTTTTATTTAAGTTAGATATAGTTTTCTGAAGATGTTAAATTTGACTTTCGGTTCAATATTCTTTCATTACACTCAAAACACATCTAAAGACTTTGGTCCTTCAAGGTTACGTAAAACTTTGAACAAATATTACTCTGACAGGGTCGAGTAATTCTAAGTTACATTTATACCATAATTTTGTAAAGTATCACTAAGTAAAGCAGATTTTAATATACTGTACAGCCATTAGTAAGGTATCTAATACACTTGTAAAGTGGAAGTAAATCAATTTGTTAAACGTTGGTAAATTATGTGGTCTCGCCTCTGAGTAATAAATAAAGGTTATAATTATGTAGCTTTTTAAATATTGTTTTAAAAAGTGACATTTTGCTTAATTTCATTTTATACATCCTTTTACATTGAATTGTTACTTCCATTTTTCAAAAATTATGATTGTGTTTAGAGGTTAAGTTTATCTTGTCTTAAATAACGTAAATGAAAGTTTGCTTTTATAATAAGTACTTCTGGATATACCACACCAAAAACTTGATATTTTCAGCATTATTACTTTTGTGTTAAAACTTGCTTTTTCAAAGTTCTCAAATGTATACATAGTTTTATGAATATTTCAATAAGAAAACATAAACTCTACGCCTGTTGCAATTAGTACGGCTTACGCAAAATAGTTTATTAAATTATACACAAATTAAAATGACGAAACTTCCAATTTAACTCGCTCTAAAGTAAGTGTTAACTGAGCGTTTACATTAAACTAAAACACTATACCTAGGAAGTAGTAAGTGGTTGGTTGCACCATTTAGTGATTAAATCATAGAATTAGTACTGAAGGTAGCAACGGGTTATTTCATATTGGAAATTAAACCAAACCTTAAATCATTATAAAATGCAATAATAATAAGCGGAATTATTTAAATCTAAACGATGAAAGTTATTTTAGCTGAGTCCTTCTTTTATTTGTCTATGTGCTACCAATGCTTTTTAAATTTATATATACTTTGTGATATTTAGAACGGCCTTTTAAAACTATTTTAAACACCGCACAGAATCGTTAAAAGGATTTTTATTTCCGTCTTCCAAGTTCGTGTTAAAAATACATAAGGATCTATTTTTAATTTTAATAATTATTGACTAAATTAAATACAAATTAAATTAAATTAAAAATATTATAATTGATTATTTTTTAATTGAAAAAAAAAACTTTCAAAGGATTTAATGTTATGTAATTTTAAATGTTTTAAATATTGAAACGAATTTAAGTAAATATTTCCACACAGGATATAAATGTAAGAATAGATATAATATAATATTTATAGTTATTCCCTCAAAATACATTAATTAAAGCAACGTATTCATAGAATTGTAATTTATTAGTGCACTAAATAAAATGCCCACGAGCAATGGAATTTCGAAATGTATCTCACAATTTATGTAACAAATAACTTAGGTCCACGAGGAAGTGTCGAAACCGGCCCTAGCCTAGCATTGATGAAACTGAGCTTGATACAAAATTATGTAGATATAGTTTTAGTGTCTCGGTTGCTTATGGCCGAATACTGAAACGTCATTTAAATATGTAACAGTGTCTTTAATTCACGCATAAACTCCAAATTCCTAATTTTTCACGTCTATCAAATTGTAAGGGGTGCTTACGAAGCAAAGTATTAAGGATTAGTGTCAATATGCCATATATTTAGTGAGTTTGTAATCTAGAAATCCTGGGTTTGATTGCCATGCTTGTTGGACGTTAGAATTTCGTACGTTTATCCTAACCTTTATAAAGATGAAAAATATTCTGAGGAAACTTGATGATATCAGCCAAGAAACGTACTTTTAATTTAATATCCAACGCAATTATAACTAACTTTTGAATTACTAATTTTGCTGCTTTAATATTGCAATGTCATAACATTTCCCGATTTAATTCATTCATAACATTAAACTATTACAGTTCCGCGATAGGTTTTGTTTAGGTTATTATCTTCGATCGTTGTCATGTCGTTTACAATAGCAGAGAAAAAAAAACAATAGCTATTGAATCGACGCCTTACGGAAATCAATGTAGACACTACATAAGAGTGTATGAAATTGTTAATATGACCTTTATTAGAGTAATTTATATTAGTTTGCCCATATTAAATTTGTCGTATGATTTATAGCGTAACCCAAGGCCTTAGTACTTATGTTTTTTGTCATCTTTGTTTTCTATTAATCTCTTTTACATTTGATTACGAATATTTAGGCACACTATTGCTTCCTCTCTTTATTCTATAACCATCAAAGATTATTTTATTAATACAAATAAATGTAGTTTACTTGTTGCAAAATGTAGCACACGTCGCTAACCGGTAGTGTAGTGACCGTATATCAGAGTTCACAAGTGGCCCGCCTTCGCGCAGCCTCGTCTGAGGTCACACATCAAGTTCAGGCGCTTGTTTTGATTCTAAACCAGTCTGCGCGATATGTGTCGGTTCGCAGGCGTGCGTTATTACGTAATAAATTAACATGTTTCCGCGATTTCCCTCACAAGTAAAGGTAAAGCTAATTGGCAGAGAAAAATGTGGTATTATACGTTTTTATGTATAGTTTATTTGTTTATGTCATATCTTTTGAGTAAAGCATTGACGTTTTTAAAGGTTTTATCTATGTACAGCATCATTTATCTAAACATTTAATAAAAAAATAATGAATGTCTTCACATAGAAGATGTTATCCACTATATACTATTATGAGTAGTTATAAATTTTGAATATCAGAAACAATCAATCGACTCCTGTTCCAAAATAACCCAATTATAATAGTTATATTAAAATAAAACTAAATTATTTTTAACTCATTTCTTGTTCGTTTATTGTTATGGTAGAAAGGTTTAATAGCATCCGGGTGTTAAATCGAACTTGTATTTGCAACCGGTTGGGAATAAACCAACCGACGGCAATGTTGCGCTATCGTTTCGATAGAATTCCAAATTACGACCACACCATCTTGATGCTTGTTATTCCACAAATCATTTTCACTTAACCTATTGCGTCCGCATTACTGTCATATTTATCTCCTATGGAATTTTTATATATTTTATTTTATCGTGAAATTTACAAGCTTTGGAGTTAGATTATATAAATCAAAGATTGACGCTTATGTTGTTAAAAAAATAATGACTTTTTTTGTAACCAAACACTGCGCCTGTCAGATTGTCCTGTAAATATTAATTTGTTTTTTTCAGTGTCCTTTTCGTAGACGAATAATTTGTAATTGGCGTTATATATTTATATTTCATTCCATCCGATTGTTTTAAATATAACTATAAAAACGGTTTACATTCCGATGTTGTAATGCTGATTGAAATAAATCAAAAAATACAAAAAATAAAAATGTGATATCCACTTTTCGCAAATAATTGCGTCAGCATAGGTCGTGATATGTAACTAAATGTTGATTATTAAGCCAAAAATAAGTAGAAATAATGATTTATGCACAATGTTGGTCGAGTTTCCCTACCGGTTCCGTTGCAATCGATTTATTAGGTGTGGCTTGAATATAAGATTTTCGTAACTTCCAAATACCAACAGTACTCTGTAGAGTTAATTATTTTTCACGTTAACACTTGATGGAGGATTTCCCACTGCTATTATATTTTTTCATTCTTAAATTAAAAATATATTTCGAATTTTAGTTAAACGTAATTTCCTTTTTCCACAGGTACTATTACTGGCGTGTGTCGCTGGCAGTACGGCGCAGTACAATCATTTCGGCGGCGGCTTCTCTGACGGATACTTCGGCACGAGTTTCGGCGTGCCTGGATACAGTGGGCTATCGGCGGCAGGGGGCAGGGACCCTAGAGCTAACACAGGTACAACTAAGAGTTAAACATATTTATAAAAGCGCTAAATATACGGTTTTTTAACTATAAAATATCAGTTCAACATTTCAAAAACAATAGTATTCTATGAAAGTGGTACTTCATGATTGTGTCAATAAATCTTGCCCATACGATTCTTTGAAGTGATTGGTAGTACGAGTTAAAGACTCTACCCTAGGATGGTCAAAAACAGAGATGATAACTCCAAATATACATAAATAAATAAGTCTTATGTACCTAACAAATAATCGAGTATTCTTTAAATAAGAATGTCTTACATTATAAGCAGTGTTATAAAACTGATATTTTGTAAGGGAATTTGTAATCAATGTTACGATATTCCTAAATCGGCTCAGTTTTTGTGCGTCTAAGACAAAAACTTTAAATGAGACTGAAAGTAAACCACAAAAAGATTAGCCGTTGACAACGTTTGCAGGACAAAAAGCAGTTCTTTAGCATAATATATAATTAGCGATAAAAATAATACTTTTATAGAGCATCTGTTTTTTTTATCCTTGTAATTGTTAATATTGTTACTCACAAACATGTTTACCCTAATCTAGTTTCTGTTTGGTAAAAAATGGGTGTCATTTTTTTGTCGTATTTGTTCTTCATTTCTAAAAATAAATAATGTAATTTTATTATCATCACTAGCTTATAAGTCTCCACTAAGGGGCTCGGAACTTACCCTAAGTAAGAGCTATGTCATAGTTAACCACGGTGGCTCAGTGCAGGTTGGTTGACTACACTCATATCTTTGCGCTCGGCCACCTCAAGCCCGGTGAATCTGTAAATGCCTCTTCAAGGCAAACAGTGGCCATTCAGTCACAAAAAAAGTATGTTTTCCTTCAACGTAAGAACGTCGGGTAAATTATGGATATGTCCATATGAAATTCAAAAATCACATTGGTACATGGCGGGATTCAAACCCAAGACTTGTAGATTACAAGTCAAGTGCTTGAGCCACCAACACTATTAATAAAATAATTTTATTATTACAGCTTAATAATTAAAGGTGTCGAACTGTGCCTGTTTCTATGTAGAGCATTCCGGGTTCAAATATTGTTCCGTGACTAATATGCAATTACACGAAACAATAGATTGTGGGTCATTGAAGGTCAAGAAAGCATTTTCATGTTCCCAAGTCTGTCAGATTGCACGATATGTATGCGCGGTCAACTGACAGCAATACAAAAGACATTAAATGAATATTAGTACATTCGTTGGCTTATTACCGTCGCGTGCAATTTGTTCTGAAATATTATCGATACCTTGACATAAGAGAATTTAACGGTACATAATAAGTAATAATCAATCTTATAATCATAAGCAGTAGTTAGATTATAGTTACGTTAAAACTTTTTTAGTGGTCGCCATGATTCTTGTATTTGGCATACTTTATACATTACTAGCTGTTGCTCGTGACTTCCTCCATGTTAAATAAATATACATATATACTCGGCATTAAAGTAGCTTTCTAGTGGTGAACCAATTTTCGGACCAGTGGTTTTTGAGTTATTTCAATACATAAAAAATACAAATCTTTCCTCTTTATAATATTAGTATAAATACATAATTTAAATAGATGTTTTTACTTCTGTTGATACAAGAGAAATGATATTGTTACAATACTTATCAATGATTCTGTATTTCAATTTATTTAATGAATAACTAACAAGTTTAAATTGATGTGCCAAGTAAACATCTATTCTTAGATTGCCCACTCTTACATAATGAAATGCAAATTGTTATAACTGGTGGCATATTTAAACAGAAAAGGTAAACCGCTGTAGTTAAACAATTTATAAGGAATCATTTAAATAAATATTTATATGGATTGGTTCATTTTAACTGTTATTTTAGAAGGAATCGTTAATTTATTAACTGATTAATATTCAAATAGTTACGGAAAATTTAAAGCTTGTTATAAATTAATTAATAAATGATGTTTTTAGGAAATCTGAGTCTTTGAATATTTAAATTCATTTTTTTTTAATATTTCACTGACTTCTTTCAATTACTTTATTGTTCGGCGTTCTGTGGTTATTGTCCGACAAATTCATACTTGATGTATCGATAAAATCTCACGCATAAGTTTGACTAAATTATTATACCACCCGTTACTCGCCTTTTGATTCCTGTAATCTTATATGGAGGTGCGAATACTAGTCGATTTTTAGTTGTTCAACTAAACTGTTGTATGGATTGTGAAACAATCAATAATCGCACAAAGTTGTGCGATAGTTTAGTCAAAGGTGTTCGACCGCTCTAAGAATAGATGGTAGATAAACTGTGGCGATTTAAATCTGTCGTATGGTTTTCATCATAGTTTAACATAAATCCGTGTACAGTGACACGAACATGCAACAAACTTATGTCAACTTAGCAATAGTTTACAAAACGTAACGTTGACATAAGTTACAAATACCGCACCATGTCGATAAATGAAATACGTTTGAAATTAGCTATTAATATGGGTGTAGAATTGAATTCGTTTTGATTTTACCAATTTATTTAGACTTCCATGCAAAATATATCAAACTGTAAGACTCTTCTATATTCTTTTATTGTTAAGTTATTTTATATATGTTAATAACTTATAATTTGGTATTTGGAAAACAAAAGACTACTAAATAGGAAAAAAAAAAACAACGCTTTATTGTTACCATAAAAGGGTGACTGTTGTCTTAAAACCAAAATAAATACTCCTTTCTTATTGTGATTTTTAAACAAAATATCCCTTGAATATTCAAGGCCATGTTTTTGTTCAATAAAAAAAAATATACGAGAAATATCAATAAAATTTGCGCAACCTTGATTACTCAGTTAATCTGATTTTACGCCCTTCTTGACGTGATAAAAAGTGTATTGCAATATTTTTTTTAATTCGTTCCATCCGCAAGCAATGTTCACAATTACAGCTTTAAACACAAGTTTCACAACTTGTTTGAAAGATAAAATCTCGCGATAACAATGAGACTGGCCGTTTTAATTGGCAGTAAGTGGATGTTGTGTTACAATGCGCTAGGAGTGATGGTGGTATGTTAAAACGAAGCGATAACAAAACGAGCACGGAACGTTTAAAGTAACTTAACTCATTTAAAATAAAAACTTAAAATAACACGAAATACCCTACCTTGTTTATAGATAATTTATTGGAATATAATTGGAATTTGGAATATTAACTTTATTGTAATAAAGTAACTCACTAACTAGTCCATTCAGTAAAATACCGGCTTTATAAGTCGGCTTTATTTCCAAGTCGTATGCATTATTTTCGGGTCGTCCCATTCCTACATTTAGATCTTAGCTCAAACACAGCGAATTCGACCTTCTCTCATAAAATTTTGATATGTTTTTATGAAAGATCACATGTTGGGTTAATTCGGTTTCCGACATCGTTTTTCGGAGATTCCATGTCGTACGAATTGTACACAAATGTCTTCAATTACGGTATTCGGTCTATTTCGCGCCGTTTCAATGTCAAGTCACTTGCGCAACACGTGTGTAACTCGCGTCACGCTAGCACGCCGATTATTCTCGCCTCGCTAACACGTCCGATTATAGTAATTAGTTGATTCAATTGTTGCGTCAAAAAGATGCATACATTAAACATATTTAAAACTAGCTGTTGATAATTAAAAAGTAAAATAAAATATATATTTATGGTATTCGGCGATAACACAGTTTATAATAGGTGAAAGATTTTTTGAAATCGACCCAGTAGTTTTTGTATTATTTCAATACAAAGAAAAATCCAAATATACAAATCTTTCCTCTTTATAATATTAGTATGGATAAATTAAATGAGAGAAACATTTACAAAACTTCCTTGCAATATGAAAAGAATAAATTAATTATAAATATTCTGATTAAAATTTAGGACATTATAATATTCGTTAATTACCGTCATTGGTAATAAAATTACCGAAAAATATATATTATTGCAATATTAAAAAACCCTTGGTAAACCTTCAAATATTGTTTTGTAATAAGTAAAAGCATATTAGTTTTATTGTACATTTGTTATTTCGTAACTGACGCAATGAGATACATTTTTCGTAGGCATTCCACGCATTGAGAACAATCAGTTGCTGCAATACATTTTTGTTACAACACAACATTAAATAAATAATTATAACAATTTGATTGTACAGATATCGTTAAAGGTTTGATTAATTTCTCTGTACCATTAAAATATAAATTATAGTTGCACAATTTTTATTGGAAATCGTTTAAACACCTTGAACAATGTCATTATGTTATGTTTAGAATATCCTTGAAATATAAAACAACAGTATTTGTACAGTTATCAATTTCGAACGTGGTATATAATTTAAGATTTGTATTGGATTGTTATGTACTTGACAAAGGCAGACGAAAGTCGTTTTAAGCCGCCTCTATTTAACTGTGCCTCGATGTAATTACAGATAATTTGGAATGTAAACCGCAAATCCGCCTAATCGTCGACTAAGCAATATGATATATGCACGTCAAACCGCATTTTGAAATCATAGATCATGCGTCGGTTCGTTATATTGTTATCGACCTATTTGTAATTTATTCATAAGAAGATTACATTTATGTTTGACGAGCTGTTGCCCGCGGCTTCGTACGCGTGGAAAACAATACAAAATATAAAAATTACAAAAAGCTACGTATCCCTCGGTAACCGGACATTTCTCGGGGATGAAGCTTACCCCACGTGTACTCCAGACTTTGTTTTATATCTGTGCCAAATTTCAATAAGATATGTTGAACCGTTGCAGAATGATCGAGTAACCATTAAAAAACTAAATTAATGAATCCCACGGGAACCGTAACTATTCCCGGGATAAAAAGTAGCCTATGTGTTCTTCCAGACTATGCTCTAAATCTGTGCCAAATTTCATGGAGATCCGTCGAGCCGTTTAGGCTACAAACGCTAACAAACATCCATCCATCCGTCCATCTATCCATCTAAACTTTCGTATTTATAATATTATTAGTAAGATGTAAAAGTTGTTGTGTCTATGTTGAGATGATCTTAGTGGAGGCTAAATTGTAATCCAATATTATTTTATCATTATATCAAAATATTTAGTATCAGATTTTGCGTTTAATTTAAAGTTTAGAGATTTTAGTAGTTAGTAGTTTAGTAGTTAAGTAGTTAATTAAAAATTTACGTTTAAAGATTCGATCGTAATTATTTAATGCTTATTAAAGTTATCAAATAATTTTATAACCTTGTTTATATTTTCCTCATGACTTTTATATCGTAATTGTAATATTAAAACTTAAGGTGGTATGAATACTTCATCCGGTTTGTTAACGAATGATACAATATTATTCAAAAGTGTATAATACATCAAGGGCAAGGATGTGGCAATAAATTTATGAATTACAGCTCGATTTGTGTTGAATAATGACAAAATAATACGTATGCAATGTTAATGCGTTCAAACATTCAAGGATTTATCAAATATTTTACTTAAGAGCGTATGAGTTTTACATGTACAGACAAAAAAGAGCCTTGCGTTTCTTAAAAACGGAATGATTTTGTAAATAAATAATGAAAAAATAATACAATATAACGGTAATTATTTACAACTATGAATAAAAAAATAAACAATCCTTCCGATTTTGCAAACATTTGCAACGGTTTCGCAATTTCTCGGCAATTGTTTCAAAATTGTCGGTTTTTAAATTGAATGATTTATCAGTGTTACGCCACTATGATATAATTATGACAATACTAGCTTTCCTCCACGACTTCGTCCGCGTGGAAAGACAAAAACCACATGACGTAGCTCATGTGTTCTTCCAGGCTATCCTTTACAGCTATGCCAAATTTCATTGTGATCTCAGTTTAGGCTACAAATTTTAACATCCATCCATCTAAGCTTTCGCATTTGTAATATTAGTTAGATTAAGACATCACATCAGAGCTAGACCTAAATATCCTTTAATTTATAATGTTTGTGTTTTAATTTCCAGGTCCAGTGTTGTTCCCGCCTTCGCCTCCCACAGGCCCCCTACAGTCAAGTGGCGTAGTCGCCGGCGCGTCCGGGTACGGATTTGTGCCCCCCGGCTCGCCAGGTAAATACCGTCGATAGATACCCCTAGTCAAATTGTAGTTAGCACTAATGTTGTACATACATAGCCCATCTTACTCTTCTTCTGTTAACCTTTAACTGTATACTATTCTTCTATTTTATTTTTAAAGTAAATTAATAGTCATTTTGTTTATTTATAAATTAATGATTAGCTTAGAAATAATCTAGGGCATTGTATTCAGAGTTTTACATTTGTTTATATCAAATTTTATGAATGGATGCAATTGAATTTAATCGTCTACTTAAAACTTATTGTTTTGGTTAATCTGGATGATTGTCCAATGTTTTAAAAACAATTAACATCTCTCTGTAGGGTTTTTCAATACAGTTTTTGTTTATTTTAAATGAATAGTATACGGTTGAAGTTTTTTTTGTTTACAGCATGCCTTATAATGCATGATTTGTGAATATTGCACGATATAAATTATACGCTAAATATCCTTAGACATTTATTAAAATATCACTTGTGTTTGTTTTTTTTTTCAATTTATTCCACTTTTGGTTGTGTGTCTTTTAGATAATTGTAACAATGACTTAGTCTTCTTTCTCTTGTGTTATTTAATTTTGTTATTTTATTTATAATGTTGTGAATGCAGTTGTAAATAGCCAAATGTAAATATTTATTATTTGAAAATAAATAATAAGAATTGTCCAATGTTTTATTAGAACCCCTGATGCTTTTGGCTGATCCCTCGTAATCCTGCTGAATTGTCTTGTATGCTAGCACTATGCATGCTAAATGGGTGTTTATAATATGCACTTGGGTGTTAAATTTAAGATAAAGACTATGAAAATGTTACTTTTAAAAACTTTGTAATTATTTTAATAATATTTAAGGTAATGTTAAGTTTAAATTTAAATTAAGAGATAAAGAGAAACATTATAATGTTCAATTGATAATAAGATAGATAGAAATAAAGTTTAAATTTTAGATTCCAAAACATATTTTAACACATTATTTTGGTTAATTTTTATGTGTTTCGGCTGTAGTTATCAAGGACCATCAAAAAAAACTTAATGATACTTCTCATATATAAATACGTCGTAAATCACATAATAAACTTAATCCTACACCGATTGATGTAAATAAAAACGCTCGTATAATTTATGTATTACAGTCACTTTGTCAATATCGTCGAAGAAATATTAGTCAATGTGTTGAACGGTCATGACTCTATAGCGTGGTAGAGTTCGAATGATTCATAGAAGCCCTAAGGTCAATTTGGTTGATTCGATAGACATTATTGACCGTCTGTTCCGGCAAGAATGTGTACAGAAATGGACAGGATGACCTTGAAAGTGCCGGACCGAATGATAGTTTTAAGCCAGTCTTTTCCCTCTTGTATTTATTTATATAATTTTTTTTGACACTGCGGACAGGCCGTTCGTGATTTCATACAGCGAAATGAATTAGTTCCTTAATGTAATTGAATTTTAATTGTATATATATAGTCGATAATTAATTAACACCAATATACCAACGGTTAAAAATACAGGCTTCAAATTATTGGTACGTAAATTCAGTGCCGTGAAAAGTCTTCTAACGTTACTTCTAATGTTTATAGTATAGTAATATACCCAAACCCTTAAAACAATTTAACTAAACAAAAATATATACAGACCGGTACTCAATTATTCATAACGGTCGGCTATAATTGTGTTTAGCAAAATTTCTCAATGACTGCGTTTATACTTTCGCCTTCCAATGCTAACCCATTCCGCCGAGCATTCAATTTGAGCGTTCTCGTAATCTAGCGAGCCCTTCGCAGTACGGTCAAACGAATTTTAATTATGAAATTGACATATCAGTCCACCCGCGGCTGCTGCCCTCCGCACGTTTTATGATTTAATAAAAGAGTTTGTACTTACAAAATTAATTGGCGACCCTCAGCCCGTCGCTGCCGTTTCTAGTCCGGCTTTTTCATATTTATCTAATGCATATTTATTCGTTTGTTATGAAATCGAGGGAGTGCTCTCATGTGTGAAGCAAACATTTAACGTTTCGATGTATTCAAAATTTTGCAAATTTCAAAGTTAAATGTTGTTTTAGACTGACATAATGTATAAATACTAACAATAGATAAATTTGTTTTTCTATAGACTACAAAAAAACAAAAAATAATCTTAAAACACATAATATAACGCGGAGCTAATCAATTTAAATACACAGAAATGTATATTACTTGTATATATGTATTAAATGTAAAATATGCATGTTGTAAACAAAAGTGTTCTCATGCCTTTATCCCGGGGGAATGTGAGAAATTCATTCTGCTATTTACTTCTTTTAATACTTTAAATTAAGTACGAAGTAACGTTTAAGTTTTGGGATACAACTATGTTGTAGAAACCATATCTTATATTGGTACTTGCACTATACTTGTATTATGTGTAATTTAAGCAATCTATAGTCTAAAATAGTTTACTCAAGTATTTAGTTTTAGAAAATAACATATCCTTTCTTAATTATTATAATATTTGTAAAGTTTTAAAGAATTCCTATATATGTGTTTAGATACACATATATATTTGTACAGTATAAACACAGACTATTGATAAACGTCATTATTAATGTTTCAATATTTTTTATTCATAATTTTAGTAATTATAGCCGACGTTTTGGGAGGACCGAATTTATTCCTGCAGACCATAGATCAGTTTCAATATGGTAAGTGGTGAGGTTTTTTATAGAAAACATGCACAATAAAGTATCAACTGCTTTAGTTTCAAGTATATTATAATTTCAACCAGTGAAATATCAAGATTAAAGCCTCTTTTTCAAATATTACACGAATGGAACTGACAGAGTCTTTGATGTTCACCGAAATTACTTACACGTCGCGTAGTATCGAAAGCAACACATAAAAATAAAAGCTTTTGCTCCTCCTTTTAAATATGTGAAAGCTTTTTCGTCTTTTATCGCGATCGTCGGAGAGATAACAGGAGCTTTCCACTTTTCATTAGTTACTAAATGTAATTGGAGAAGATATTTATGTTTTGCGCAATTATTAAATGGTTTTTTGAGCAATTAAAACTGTTTTACTTAAGAAATTCAAAAACTTTTATAGATTATGCAAATAACCACGTATACAACTAGATGGCGTCTCGAGCACTTTAAAAGGCGATATCAAAATTTATTTTTTAAACTTGATACGGTAGATATTGCTTCAGTAGCTGGATGCCTAGGTGTTGATATATTTATAGTTTACAATGAGTGCATCCGAAAATGTTCAATTTAGAACTTTTTCTAAGAATATGTTTTAAGTGAATTTATGTTTAAAAGTTACTTACTTCTTTTTGTAAAAGTGTAACTTTTAGTTTAAACTAATTTTAAAATGTTATACCTAAAATGAATAAAAAAACATTTAGTTTTTAGAGAATTTATTGCACATAGGTTTTGATTACGTCACGCTTGTAGCACTCGTGTAGTATCCCGCGTAGCAGTGCTACGGAAGCGAGGCGTCGCGCCGTAGCGGCGCCGGGCCGGAAGCCGCCTGAAGGGTTGTGCCGTCACAAATCAAGTTATGAGAAACGCCACAAAAGGAAACTTTGTGCATTTCCGAGCCGGCGAGCGTGAAATCCGACACAAGTGCGCTGACAACTGATTGTATTCCCCCAAAACTTATACAAACAATACACTCTAATTAAGATTTTAAAATTATGACATTAAAATCTCACTATTTTTCTTTAGATCATAATGTTATGTTTTGAATTGTTAATTGTCACTACTATAAAAAATGTTATTCGCACTACGATTATTATGTTTTTTGTATCAAGAATTCTTTTTTCTATTAAGTAAAGATAGATATCATATTAATTTATTAGTATTTAATAAGATTTACTATTTTAAATATTATAATTGTGACTAGTAATAATAATAGAGTAATCAAATATAAATAAGCATTTTTATTATTATAATTTAGTTTATTTTAATTAATTAATTATGGTATTTCGGTTTGCAGGTCCCGCACTACCGAGATATTACTACCGAGGATTCTTCCTAAGATAGGAAAAGCAACAGCCAATTTAACTAAATGAATTCCATGTACCTTATACTTTTCTCTTATATGTGTATAATAATATAATTTTGTAAATTAAACAATTTGTAAAAAATAATATGTAAATAGGCAGTCATGAAACTGTGATATTTCTGAACGGATGCTACGTATGTTTAACTTTTTTTTTTCTTTTTTAAATTATGACTTTTAGTGACATTATATGAGTAGGTGTAACTTAAGAATGACTGTCACTCGACTATGAGTATGAATGTAAATAAAATTGTGTAATACCCTCTCTGTAATCTTTTATTTTGTCGGATTGTTAGAACATGACAACACAGTTTTGAATCGGACTTGCTTACTCAGCGAGTTGTGTGTTGTAGACCGACCATGTCATTTGACCCGGTGAAGATATGTCAAACTAAATTATAATAGCTCACTAGCGCTTAGTGTTAAATTAACAAAAGTTTTAATCCTTGTCGTACTGTAGTTTTCTTGTCATTTTCTATGCCTGTGTTTAAATAATATTTGACAGAATTAATCGAGGTAGCAACGCTTCTCTCACCGGGCCAAATAACGTTGTCCCACTATACTAAACGTTTTAACTGCCGTGACACTTATTTCAATGCATGTTTTAGTCTATTTTATCGGTAATATTAAAAAATGAAAAAGAAATCTTGATTTGTAATAAAAATTTAAATTGAGCTTGTAAACTTTCTTCATCGTGACTCATAATTAATTGAATGATCCATAGATGTCAACTCAATAAATCTATATATGCATTGCTTATCTAATCTTTCTTATTAAAGCGTTTTTATTCGCAATGTTACGACACAACCACATGAGTACATTACATAACTTTGAAGCAGCGGACACGATGACGTAAGAGCGTGCAGATCTTAAAGTGAAATGAGAAAATGTCAAATAAAATGTTGAATTTATAGCCTTTATGTGTGTTTGTAGAATTGCTATTATTTAATGGTTCATATTCAAAGTAGGTCCAGATATTTGTTATAATTGTTTCAGAGTTCAATGACCTGTAATACAAATTTAGATTGACGATGACCTGGAAGGGCGATTCCGGCTAATTTGCTCGTTAACTCAGACTAGCTAAATAGGCACTATGGTTACTTAGTTTTAGTCTGAGAATCTACACTATTTTAAAAACTTGTTAAGTGATACTAATTAGTGACAATTAAGTATACACTAGCTGTAGCTCGCGACTTCGCCTGCGTGAAATTAAAAAATAATAAAAAATGTAGCCTATATTACTCACAGATAAATTACCTTTCTGAGGATGAAAGAATTTTTAAAATCCGCCCCGTAGTTTATGAGTTATTTCAATACATACAAAAATACAAATCTTTCCTCTTTATATATAGTATAGTGTACTCCGTGTGCAGTTAGTAACATAAAATAATTAATTGTTCTGTTCTGAAATTGTGTCATAATAATGATCGTGAACTGCTTATCGCGGTTGACCCATAAATAACACATAAAATATGTATAACATTATTTGTTATGGCGTAAGCTCACAATATAAAGGATGCAATGTTTTAACTATCTATTGTTAACTATTACGCATTATTTATTATAAAATGAAACAATTATTATTCATCGCATTCGCCTATTTTATAGTTATAGGAAATAACGATGGTGAGCATATTTCTTCACTATTAATGATCTTGAATAATATAATAAAAAAAATCCCCATGAGTTGTAAAACAATGAGAATGATATTTGGAATATTTAAATAGCTTTTATTTTAAGCTTACGCCCGCGACTCAGTCTGAGTGGAATTTTTAAAAAGGTAATCAGCAAATGAGTTCTTTCAGAATATTCTACAGCTATGCTAAATTAAATCGAAATCCGTTCAGTAGTTTAGTTAACAAACTTTAACAAACATCCATCCATCTAAACTTTCGCATTTATAATATTAGTAAAATTATATCAAGTGTATAATAAACATTTGGAAAGTTTCAGATGCAAACAACATAGAAAGTGACAATGTGATCAATAATACTCTACCGTTTAAAAGTGACGGTAATTCAACTAATGCCATCTTAAGATATTTAGATGTTTACGCGAATTACGCGACTAACAAAGAGAGCGTTATGAGATATCGGCGTTCCTGTTATAGTTGTGTCATTTCGCATGCCTTTATGTTCGTTCTCGTTTTAGCCACAAGTGACCATTTCTAAAACGAGCGAAAGTGACGTAATTATGGAGTACATGTTGAAATAAATTTCTAATTCTACAATTATTACTTTTTTATATTTCTCACTAGCTGTTGCGCGCGACTTCCCCCACGTGAAATTAAAAAAAATATAAAAAAATACAACCTGTGTTACTCACTGATAACGTAGCTTTTTAATGGTGAAAGAATTTTTGTAATCGGACAATTAGTTTTTCAGTTATTTCAATACATACAAAAATACAAATTACAATTTTCATTAAGATTCGTTTAGTCGTTTTAGTTATACGTAATAACAAACATACATTCGTCCTCGCGAACTTATAGTATTAATAGTATGAAGTATTCAATAAGCGCCCCCCTATAACTCCTTCCGCAAACGCCCACGGTTGTCCCGAATTTTTTCATGTTACAAATTTTCTCAAGGATTTCATTCCAATTATTTTTAAGTAAAATACTTTTAGTCATAGTTCAACATCCATACATTCTAGACATAGTTGTAAATTGAAAAGAAATAGCCATTAAATGTTTGCGTTTAATATAATTAGTAAAAATTCCTCACAGGAAACAAGTCATGCATTATCTCGTCGTATCTGCTGCCATAACTCCATTTGCTATGTTACATATTATAGGCTGGAACAAAAATACATTTATATTTTATTCAACTCGCTGCAGTTTCGTTAAGGTTTACAAAAAATGTAAGAAGTAACAAAGGTTACAACTAAAAAGAAAATTGTTCTCTTTTTTATCAATTTTTGTATTAACTCAATAGTATTTTTGAAGTATGTTAACTAAGAATTTTTAAATAGCCAAATAAAGAAAGTCTTTTGAAATTATTGCTTTTTCACTGTATGTTAGTAAAGTTGCCAAGTTAAGAGCACGTGATTCCTGTGTTTATTTTTGTTACCCTTTACTAGAGTTTGTAAAGGCTTTTCTTTTAGAAAACCATACTTAAATTTCATTTATTACTTACTGGAAAACATAGAGAAGTCGCGCCTTTTACCGCTTTATCAGCTGCGGCGTCTACTACAGCTGCTGGACCTGTAGATGCTGTAATATACGTGGGTAATTATTAATAATTATTTATAGTTATTAACACACAATTTTTGATTACTGGCTTTTGCCCGCGACTCCGTCCGCGTGGAATTAAAAAAAAGTAAGGAGCTTATGTGATCTTCCATACCACGTTTTTCATCTATGTCAAATTTCATCTAGATCCGTTCGGTCGTTTAGGCTACAAACTAATACATCCATCCATCCATCTAAACATTTGCATTTATAAATTAGTATGAAAATTATGATTACACGTTTCTTTATTATTCAATAATTAAATTAAATATTTAGCTTAAAAATAAAGGATGTTATTTAACCATTTTAAAATTCACAAGTGACTTGAACAATTAATTTTTGTTTCAATTATTATTTTATTATTATTTACAAGGATATTTATAATTTTTTTGTTAAAAACTTACCAGCATTTAATCTTAAAAATAACATTGAGAACAATAAGAAAATAAATATAAAATTAATATTGTTCATGTTGCTTATTATTTCATGTGATATTTATGTATTAACTAAACAGGGTTTTATTAAAATTTATTGACAAAACAGAAATGGCTTATCGTGAACTTTTTTATTTACGACAAAGAAATGAAAATAATATTGTCAATTTATTGTTTTGTCGTGTTTTGTTTTACGTCGATTGATTTTGTTTTTTGATATTGAGTATTGGAATTATTAAGCTATTAAATTAATTTAGTACAAAGAATGTATGAATTGTGACGCTTTCTTCTCTTACTGAGCATTGTAGTCTATGATCATAACTTGCTTTCGACATTAAAGGCGCCATAGACATTTACGGGCAACTACATGTATTTGAAATTAACTACTGACGTCACTTCCGAAACAAAAAACTCAGAAAGTTTTTTGTTTTTTTCAGAACAATTTATATATCTAGGACAAATTTCATCGGGACTCGTTGACCCATTTAGGAGATAATTTGTACATTCACTAATCCATCTAAATAGTTGCATTTATAAATATGGTAAGGTATAAAAAATTAACACCGTAGGCATAAAAAATCAAACTAATATTATAAATGCGAAAATTTAGATGGATGGATGTTTGTTATAGTTTGTAGCCTAAACGACTGAACAGATTTCGGTGAAACTTGGTATAGATGTTGAGGATAGTCTGGAAGAACACATAGGCTATTCACTTTTATTTTTTTAATTCCACGCGGACGGAGACGGAGTCGCAGGCGAAAGCTATTATTTTTTAAAAATAACAAGTCAATTACATGCGTATGTTAATTTCAATTACAAATTCAAAGATCTAATTGCTACTTAATTGATAACTTTTAGACAATGCGCTCTTTAATATCTCGATAACCAATGGCTTGATCGTGAATGACCTCAATTATAATTGATAACTGTGTTGAAATTCACATAACATCGGTCGTGTCAAAACAAAGCAAATCATATTTCAATTTTGTTAATAAGAAATATGTGCTTAATTTAAAGAGAGTATTTAATAGAAATGTCTTTTAAATTATATCCTTTCTTTGTCGATACATTTTATTAATCTTGCTAATACGTAATGCGTAAGTTTAAAAAGATTAATCTAAGTTAACAGGTAACTCTAAAACGGTCCGACGGATCTGGGTGAAATTGGCACATAAATGTAAAAGGTATAAGTTCTAAGTGAAACAAAAAAGTTACGATTTTAATTTATTTATTCGATAAATTTTTAACACACATTTCACTAAAGTCGACGTGCTGCATTGTGCTTGTAAATCCTGTAACAAAAAAAAGGTTTATATTTCGTAGTATTATTTATTTAGCTTGATTTAGTGCAAATACATACGTGCCAGTTGTTTTCTAGCCCTCGCAAATCTGAAATTTAAGAATGTTTTTATAAAAAATTGTATTGAAATTAAGTATTTTAGACATTGCTAGTGACTTTTATATAATAAGTGTTTGGTCATTTTTCAACATGTCAATTTAATACCATCTTCAAAACCCTCATTACTAAAACACGATACAAACCTGGGCGGCAAGGATGTTAACGTTCTGTAGGAAAGGAAAATAAAATTGAGAGTTGTATTACGGTTTTTAGTCAAAAAAGTAGTATAGTAGTGTTAGCTTTTTAACTATTTTGATGTTTTCTATAATCTTGAAGGTTAGTTAGTCTGTGCTATAAATCAATGCCATTGGTCATAATTTACAATAACGATATAAGCTTTGTAATTGTGATACGAAACATTATTTGAACATTTATGTCATGGTTTTAAAATGTCGTAATTCTGCTTGTAATATTGATAATCGGATGATAGTCGAAAGTCAAAAATAAGAGTGTTTCATCAGCTCGACGACACGACAGCCATATTGGTAAGGTTATTCTGTGCAAATTGGAGAGCATGAGAGGTAAAGAAGACTATATTTTATTAAAGCATAACATGGCTGTGACGCCCACAATAGATTTACAGCTTTTACATATCTCAACGAAACAACGTATATTATTTAAAGTGTATGTTTTTAATGTACTTGATATATGTAAGTAATATAATTTTTATGAAACAGATATTTACGTACCCCAGCACAAGTTTTCTTCGTCTCTACAATGAGAAGTAATATAAAAATTTAATTTAATAACACGATATGTGTACATTATGTCATTCGGTTGACAACAATTCAGAGCGTGCGCACATATTTGACTAAAGTATCGCACATCTGTTTAGTCGCGCTTTGATTCCTATGAGCTTGTACGGAGATGCGCAAACTACTCGATTTTTAGTTGTGTAACTAAACAGTTGAATTGGCTTTAAAACAATCGACAATCGCACAACAGTTATGCAATTTATTTAAAGGTCCGCTCTTAATAATATTATTTTAATTACTTCGAAATTTCGTTTATGAATACTATTTTTTAGATTGCGAATATATCTAGAATCCAAGGTTGTCAATAAACTTTTAATTATTACATTACATTTATAAATAACTAGTTCAAAGTAAGAATAAATGTTTAAAAGAAAAACTAGAAATAAAATTTACCTGTAAAATCATCTGTGGAACAATTTATTGCAAAATGTTAAAAGAAATAAACGTATGTAAATAGACATTAATAAACAACATTTTTATAGCAGTACAAAGAGAAATCTTTTATTAAAACTTACCTATACATAAAACATAGTATAATAATGACAATAAAAGTAGAATTACTAAGAGAAATTTAGAATGCATTTTATTTGCTCAGAGTGCTACCAATTATCACACTAATATGAACAAACTATGTAACAATTTAGATCATGAAAGTTTGTGTTAATTAAATAAAAGTCGTGAGCAGTACTAAATTTAATTATTTATTCGTGCTCTATATTCTATAATCATAATATATGTCTATAATAATAATTATTGCATCGAAATTGGTGTAACTGACCTGTTTAAGTCAAAAACGTGATTCGTGTGTAACGGATTACATTTAATGTGCAAATATTAATAATTTTATTAGCAAACCTAATAAAAACTTCTATTGAAAAACTTTTTTGTGTTTAATTCTGATATTTATTGGTACTTTGATTATAATTGCAATTTAAATAAAAACACAACACTTCTACAAGCTTTAAAAATATAATTGAAAAAGCATATGGGTAGTGGTCATTGCGGTATTTTAGCGATATCGGAACCTGACCCGAAAATTTGCGTGATAGTGGTGAAGGGGCTATCAGGCGTAAAGCCAACAAATCTAATATAAATTCTGTCGATGACATTAAGAATAGATTCTCGCAAATTTTCGTGCTAGGACTCCAATGTGGTCGCTTGTTCTTTTGTCATTTTTAATGACTTATATGTAAACCAATTAGAAATAGATTTTAAAAAAGTAGAGTATTGATTTTTAGTGTGTTTGGCCACTAATCATATTGAAAATGTCAGTTAAAATAACATTTTTAACTGGTTGTTCCAAACAATCAGTAAGGCCATAGGTACTTAATCATAACATAAGTATAACTTAAGGCTTTGATCATTAAGTAGGCGTGGCGGACGCGGATATGGTCGAGGCTGTCTAGAGATTATTTCGGTGCTTTATGCGGAAGTTAACCAACGCGAAGCTTTTACGTAATGTAGAAATGTACGTTTTTTATTTTTTAATTTAGCAGAAAATCAACTTTTCTAGCTATCAACTAGTCAAGTCCTCAGAGGTAGTATCGATTTTCTTTGAATACAGTTTTTAAACAGTTCGACTTAAATTTAGTAGCTCTTAACGTATATCTACATTTACAGCTTTCAGGTTATAAGAGTGTAAGGTGTTTAGAATATCACTGGTAACTAAAATAGGGTATAGATGAGGCAGTCTCCAGCAAAAAACCTATTTTATGGACACCCTTAAGGCAGCAATAGTTGTTACATAAAGACGTTTTCTTAAATAACGCACAAATCAATGAAATAAATCATTGCTTTTTATAGATTGTGGCCTAAAGGGACTTTTTTTATCACTTAGCTTATCTTACTTAACAAATTAAATAATTTAAGTAAAAACTTAACAAATTTTTGCCACTTCATATATATTTTTATAGTGGAACATAGCACATTTTTTTTTAATTCTAGGAAGGAATAAATAATTGTGGTTATCGCTAAATTGACATGTTAACTAATTGACGTCAATTAAAGAATTTAGGCGTATTATTTGTACAATAAAACTCTTAGTAACTAGTGAATTCGGTTTTTATTTCAATTTATCATATTTATTTGTATTATTCTCCCTCGATATCTGTAACAAAAAAAGGGAATTTGTATTGTGCTTTTTAAATATCTCTAATAAATTTTCTTATAATACTTACTGACGACGGTCAGGGTTAACGACCCTGGCATTTCTGAAACGATATTATATTGTTTAGAAACACGAAACAAAAAACAGATGAAAGTCCAAAGCAACAAAAACTTACTTGACGTGAAAGGAAGTTAATATTCTGTAAGGATTAAAATTGTATTTGAGAAACAAAATTTATAAATCCTAAATATAAAAAGCTATTAAACATTAACTATTGAAAAATTGTTATAAAATATAGGATATACTGTTAACAAAAAAGAAAAAAGTTTTAACTTACCCCAAAACAGGTTTCCTTAGTGACTAAGAAAATAATTAACAATTAAAATGGAAATACTTTTTTTCTATTTTTATAGTAGTAGTTATGTATTTCATTATGTAATGTGTAGTATTATAACAATAAAAAATAAGCTTACTTGATATTGCTAAAAGTAAAAAAAATATTTTAACTTATTCATTTTTGAAAAAAAATGTAATAGACAAATGAGAAAACCATTACGTACATTCTGGCACTGGTATTGGAATTGGCGGCTCTGGAATGGGAATAGGCGGAGGTGACGGCTCAGGCGGAGGTGGAGGTGGTGGTGGAGGAGGAGGAGGTGGTGGTGGGGGAGGCGGTGCAACTTTAACTGAAAAAAGTAAACATTTTAATACGTTATTTTGTATAGCACTTTTTTTCCTTAAATTTAAATTTTTTTTTTATGTTTTTCTCAACGACTATGGAACAGCTTAATTACTAGTTTTTTTTTTCTAAATAAATCAATAATATACTAGTTGTAGACAATTATGTTGATTTACACTTTACAATATCAACAAAATTTATAAGGATGTTTTAAACATATAAAAATTTACACAAACCTGGTGGTGGTAGAACTAAACAAAAAACGTTTGTTAATTAAATTTTGTTATACAAAGCACGTTTTTATTATTTTTTACATACTAAACATTATTATTTTCAGCCAGATACTTACCACATGCAACTGAAATAAATAGAAATTCAAATATTAATGAGTAATGCTTAAATAAATTATTTAGATGTAGAATTAACAATATTAATAAATTTGGAGAAATGACTTTATTTCCATAAACCTGTATAATTATAAAAAAATTACCTGGTTCTATTGGTGCTGTCGGTGCTATTGGAAGATATAAACAACATTACATTACTATTATTTATTTATCACATTTGTTAGATTAGTAATAGTCTTTACGCGCATTATTAAATAATCAATGTATTAATAAGATTTGATCAAAATACAGCATTATTAAGTAAAATAATAAAAAGACTACTAACCGCTAATTATTAGTTTTGCCGATCCTATAATTAGTAATAATGATAAAAATGTTTTGCCCCCACATTGTAGTGAGGGGCCCATGCTGACGGTGCAACGTGCAAACACGCTGTGTCGTTTAACGTCTCCTTGGTTTCTTGTTGCCTTGCTTGTAATAATAATAATTGATGTTTTTATCGTTTTATTACTTTTGATAGAGTTAATGATAGCAGCGTACATAAATTATTTGTTATCTATTTTCGTTTTAAACGTTTTTATTTCTTACGCTGCGTATTGTTGCTTCATTAATTTTTGAAAATATCTAGAAAAGAACTTAGAAAGATCATTTGAATGAAACAGAATTCTTTAACACTAAAAATGTTATAAATAAAGGTAACCTAAAGGAACCTTTTAAACATTTAATCAACAAAAATCTCTTGAAAATGAGACATTAATATAGTCTAGTGTTTAGTGAAAAATTCAACCTCTTTGGCTGACAAGAAGTATGAATACAGCCAAAGAGGTTGCATACTGGCCACCAAGACTTTTGGGTGGTTTGTTTTTAAAAAGATACAGTAAAAACAGAAGAAGATGGGATTGATAAAGTTTTGCAGTATAGTATTCTAAATATGTAAATAAGTTGAATAAAGTTGTTTTGATTTCATATAAAAAAAGTTTGTAATTTTGGCTGCCGCGCTGTTGGTAAAAAGTTAAACAAGAGTATGAACTATTACATTATAATATCCACTGTACTGCTTACTCCCTATAAGTAGCTATGGTAGCTCGCTCGGAAAAAATCGATTACTTGTTTAAAAATGCTAAAAAATAAAAATTAGATGTTACATTATGAAATTATCAATTTTCTGTTTACTTGCTTACGACTAGATGTTCTTGTATAAAAGCGACTGCTAATAAACATTTAATACTGCGTAGTTTCGTTTTATTTGTGAAATTAACATACAACATTAAAAGAAAGAGAAGCAGAGTAATGATTAGATTTCCATTGCAGGTTTTCACTATCTGATACTGTGTGTAACTTTACTTAGGTCCAAGTAGAACTTAGATTTAGATCTTTAATTAAAGTCGAGTCAAAGCTTATTTGGGTGTACGATGTGAGGTAAGTAGATTCCACAACGATAACGCATGAAATAGTCTTAAATTTACATTAAAAAAAATAGTGATCTTACTAATATTATAAATGCGAAAGATTTGATGGATGGATGTTTGTTTGAGTTTGTAGTCTAAACTGCTGAACGGATCTCGATAATATTTGGTTTAGATGTAGAGGATGGTCTGGAAGAACACATAGGCTACTTTTTAAATTCCAAGCGGACGGAGACGGGGGCGAACGTTAGTAAGAAAATTAAACAAAAGAAGATCTTTTAATTTATTTTTATTTAAACATTAACCAATACTTACTTATTTTCTTAACTGGTACCAATTACGTTTCGAATGCCAAAATATTTGTTGTAAACATAAAGTTTTGTATCAGGATTTCAGCAGTGGAAGACCACGTTTAAAATTAAAACAACATTTGTACGAAACATTTATTTAATCAGCAGGGTTGAATAACAGCCGCATCTTGATTCTCAAGCACGGTTTATTTTCTAAAAATGGAAATATTGCAGATTGCGTTAATAATTAGAAAGAAAAAACAAATATAAGTAAGCTATATCTCTGTTTATTGGATATTTTAAGAGTGAAACAATTAAGATAGTCGTACTTCTAATAAAATATTTCAAACTTACTTGATATTATCCTTCACATTTCTGAAACAAAAGAAAATATATCTATAGAGTGACATTTCTGTAACCACTTAAAAAGATGAATTCTGTATTGAAGCAACAACAAACAACTTACTTGAATAGAGAAGTAATTAAGATTCTGAAAATGAAGGAAAAATATGTTAGACGATCTTTTATAGAAAAATCTAACGAATTGTAAGCGTTTTACTTTAGTCTAAACGTTGATTAAACTTTAAAATGGAACATCAAAATGTAACATACCGGACCGCATTGTTTTTCTGTAACTAAAATGAGTACAAAATTATGAAAATTTTAATTACGTTTCTAAAAAATATAAGCCATCATAATTTATAGTGCTTTCTAGTTCAGTTTTTTTTT